ATTCAATCTTACAACTGCTTGGTCTTCTGACCCTGCAGCACAGGCTTCTGCAGTTTAGCCCACAGCGCCACCACGTGGCCTATAAAAAGGCCTGTAAAGGTGGCCTATAAAAAGGAATGAATGAATGAATGTCCATAAGATGAGTAAGAGGGCAGCTATAATATGAGCCATTATAGCTAAATGACACTTCCATATTCCTTAATAGTACATTTTTGGGTTCTGGACGATTAGGACAAAGAAAAAACAGAATGATTGCATTTTCATGTGTCTGTGGGCTTCTTGGTTACTTTCTGCCTCCACACTGTTGGAAACAAGATACTGAGCATAAATGCATATTCTGGTCAGACCCAGTTGTGGCGGCGGGGGGGGATGTTATACAAAAATTATAACTTTCTCTTGGTTGGTAAGAAGTCTTGGGGAAAGGGTGGCAGTGGTTTGTCTTTGAATTACTGGGAATATATTTCAGTTTAAATGGAGTACATTTCTACGGTGAAAGAAATAAAAGCTAGCACCGTCAAGGAAAATCTAGCATACATCTCAGGAATGTTTTGATTTTCTTCTAACCACAGAATGAGAGCAATTTTCTTAGTGTCTCCATTTTAAAGCAAAGATCCAGATGCTTAATTGCTTTTCTTCCTTTTTCATCAGTTCTTAATTTGTATGCCATTAGACACCCTTTATCAAGTAAATCTTGGGGAGCACCATGAAGCAAGGCCACAGCAGTGAGAAAGCCAGATGGTTAAGGATTAGCTGAGAAGTGTGTCGGCAGCCGTGTCCTTAGTAGTTCAGTTCCTGTCTGTGACCAGGATCAGAACTAGGGATGGGCACGAACCAGTTTGTCCCAGTTTGTAAAGGTGGCAGCACAGATGCTGCTGCTTCCTTTCCCCTGCCTCCTCTGGGAGGCCCAGTGTTCCAGCTTCCTGCACCTCCTCAACTCATCTTCCAATCCCGGCAGCAGCTCAGGCTTCTTTGCCCCGCCCCCTTGGCTGATCGCCCACTCAGACGAAAAGGCGGGGCAGAGAAATCTGTGCTCTTGCTCGTGACTGGGAGATTAGCTGAGGAGGAGGAAAAAAGCAAGCAAGACGAGCTTGATGAGGGGCTGATTGGCTGAGGAGGCAGGGGAGGGGAGCAGCAACGTCTTGTGCTGCCATCTTTACGAACTGGGATGAACCGATTCGTGCCCATCTCTAACCAGAACATAATTCTCCCTCCTCTGGAGCTCTGCAGGCTTTGCCTCTCACAATTGGCAGTCTTTCCTGTTCTCTGCTTTACAGCTTGCCTGCCTAGGGCAGCAATTACGTTTCCCAACATCATCCTTGAAGGTTGATTGGGAAGCTAATGCTGAACAACTGCTAGCACCATTATTATATCAATTAATCTGTCAGTGAAAAAGAAGAATAATCATAAAGAGTTAAAAAAAACCCACAGAAAGCCATCAACAGTGCCTTTCCCGCTTGTCGAGAGCCTTTGCGACTGGTGTAGTGTGCAGAAATGATACCCTAACCATTTGCAGGCTCTCCTTGAAACTCTGCTCATCATCTCTGTGTTGAGAGGGAGCGGTGGCAACCGTGAGACCAAGGGCGCTACTGCTGGGGCTGTACCATAGTGGTAGAGCTCCTGCTTGGCATGGGGGGGGCTTGCAGGTCCAATCTTCAGGCAGGGACTTAGGAAGACCTCCTGCCTCCGAGCCCAGACAGCCCTCGGCTCTCTGTCAAGAGTTGGCGACACTGCCTTCAAGCGGTCCAACGGTCTGATTCAGACACCTTGTTCTTGGCCATTGTGCAAACATCCATCCTACAGCAGGTCACCTTTGGTCCAGACCCGAAATGGCCTCCCCTCACGTTCTGTGTCTCCCCTCTCTGTCCCCCTGCAGTATACGGAAGAAGATTTCCAGGTGCGACTCAAGAGTCGTCCAGAGCTTGAAGAGCTACGGTCCAAAATGAAGTGAGCCAAGCCGGCGATTCCTCGTAGGTGCTTTTGCGCAGCAGCGTTCGGCTCAGTCCCTCGCGGCTCTCCACGACACCGTGGAAAGCAAAGCATTCTGTTCGCCGGGCCAGCTGACTCTCCCGCTTTGGGCCTTCCGTCCACAATAAACAATAAAACAGTCTTTGGGGGAGGGGTCTGATTTGTATCTGCGGGGCTGGGAATAGGGAGCATTTTCTGTAGTGTAAAGGTTCATGTTTGCGGGCTCCCCCCTCTTTGAATAAACCACGAGGCTCTTTCTTTTCAAATGGATTGGTTCTATTTATTAAATCAAACAAGGGGTCTTCAACGTTAACAGGTGCATTAGGCAACATCTCTTGTTCGAGCAACGGCTCTCACAAGGGTGACCACAAACTGGTCTCAAAAGGATTAACAGGTTTTAAGTCCCAAGGTCCAGCAAGTACCTGGTCTGGGTCCCCAGATTCCGGTTCAGGTTCCATAGGACTCAGAAGCGGGAGGGTCTCCTTGTCCCCCGTCCATCCCCATAACGAGGCTCCCTCTCCCTGTGGGTCGCCCCAAGGTCCAGAAAACACCGCATCTTCCGTAGCTCTTCTAGATGCCATGCCCAATGTGCTTCGTTCTCTCTGGCTATGGCTTCCTTTTCCTCTTTAAGCCGTCTCCTCCACTCCCGGGTTTCTGACTCACCCCAGTACAAAGATCTTTAAGGCAACCCCTTTTCTCCGGTTTTCCGCCTTGGATTTAGGAACCCGGACTTCCTCCCACTTCCCAGTCCAGGGATCTTGCATCCACACATTCTCCCAACCCCCCGGAATATTGTCCCGGGTTGTATTTATGTCCCCAGTTCCCGCCTCAACCAGGGTCCACCCCTCTCTTCTTTTCCCGCCATCTCAAGCCCTGTTTGGGTGGCCACACTTAACCCTTTCATCCCCTTTTCTAGATCTCGGGTGTCCACTGCTTGAGACAGGCTCCTTCCCCTCTTGCTGATCTCTTCAAAATCCTGGGTGTCTATTCCCTGGTCCTTCTTTCTGGGTGGGGTAGACGGCAGAGTGGTCTGCGTCCCTCTAGGTGTCTTAGGGAGAGACGGCACTCCCAGAAGTCCCTAGTCTCCCCCTTCACATGCAGTAGGAACAAAACAAATCATACCACAGCACCAATTTGGTTTTCCACGTGTGGCAGCCACCTAATGAAGGTTCAAGTACTGTATTGGTTAAGGTCGTGCATGTCTGAACTTTTGGCTTGCTCGGCCGATCTACCAGGATGCCTTTAAACTAGACATGGGTGCTTCGTATTCCTATCCAGGGAATACAGATACGAAGCGGGTCCGTTCCCATCCCCCAGAACCAGCCTGGTCCACTCACCAGGCACCGCATGGTGCGTGCATCGGCATCATTGTTGTGTCAATGGTGGAAACCGTCTAGCCAGTGTTTCCTCACCTCTCCCACTGCTGACCCCTCCAGTGAGGAGGCAGAAAGCTGCTGAGCGGTCCGTTGTGGAGAGAGGATGGTGGAAGCCGTCTAACCAGTGTTTCCACACCTCTCCCCACCGCTGACCCCTCCAGTGAGGAGGCAGAAAGACAGCTGCTGAGCGGTCCGTTGTGGAGAGAGGCGGGGAAGTGCCAGTTATAACACAAATTAAGTTTGTTTCCCCCCTTGTTCTCTGAACTGCTCTTTACAAACACGGTTTTCACATGCCTGTTTTCACCTAGCGGGGCCGTCTAACCAGTGTTTCCACACCTCTCCCCACCGCTGACCCCTCCAGTGAGGAGGCAGAAAGACAGCTGCTGAGCGGTCCGTTGTGGAGAGAGGCGGGGAAGTGCCAGTTATAACACAAATTAAGTTTGTTTCCCCCCTTGTTCTCTGAACTGCTCTTTACAAACACGGTTTTCACATGCCTGTTTTCACCTAGCGGGGCTCAAAAAACTGAAACCAGCTGAATCACCAAGATGTATCTGAAGTATGAGACTAGCAGGAAACTCAATTTTAAAAACAAAAGTTCTGGTTGGTTTCAGTATGAACAAGTTCAGGAGATCTGCACGGAGATGACAGCTGACGGGGCACGAAATTTAGGAAATCCATGCCCTGGCCCTCTTTATCTTTTAGAATGCCCCAGAAGGTGAAGAAAAAGAAGAGGATAACAATCCAATGTTTATTTTTTCAGGAAAAAGTCACACTTCAGGATGACAGTAATAGATCTTCCCCAGTGCATGTGTCTCTCCAAAAGGACGGGCTGCCACTGTGGCCTTCTGAAAAAAATTAACTGCGCTCAGAAGCCTGGCTGCCTTCAGGATCTTACCCAGCAACGGAATGGCCCTCCCTTCCCAGTTTGCTTTCCATCAACTGGTGGCCTGGTACGTTTTCTGCCTCCTTTGGTACTCCTCCATTCGCTGCTTCTGATATTCGCTCATGCAGTCCTTAAAACTCAGCACCTCTTTCTGGCACCGCCGCCAGTCCTGATGTTCAGCCATGCACTCCTGCACAGCATAATGAAAAGAGGCGCACCCTGTCCGGGCGATCATTTGGTCAAAGGGGTCCTCCTCTTCTTCCTCCTTTGCTTTCGGTTTCCGGCTCCAGGCATGACCAGAAGGATTGGCACCAGACATGGTGGATAAGATTCTGCAGGAAGAATGGGGAATTTTTTAAAAAATGCAAATGCCACACCGTAAAAAAGCAAATCCACCGTGAAAGTCGCCTGCCCAAAAGCTGTTTCCCAATCACGCCTGCTTTCAATGGAAATCTCACTGTTATAAACCCAAATTAAACTTGTTAATCCTTAAGGTGCCACAAAATGAGAGCTTTTCCTGCAGACTTGAGCATGGCTATTTCCCTCATAACCAAATGTTAGATGAACAGGACGAGAAAGGCAGAAAATATGTCATCCTATTTTATTAATCCTTAAGGTACCACAAAATGAGAGCTTTTGCTGCAGACTTGAGCATGGCTATTTCCCTCATAACCAAATGTTAGCTGAACAGGACGAGAAAGGCATCCTATTTTACTGTATGACATAATTTTCTGCCTTTCTTGTTCTGGAGGGCCTGGCGTGCTCTGGTCCATGAGGTTATGAAGAGTCGGACACGACTAAACAACAACACATTTTACTGTATAACACACACACTACAGTGACAAATGGGAACACAATTCCCCTGTTGCAGCAGTTCCACTGGCTGCTGATCTGTTTCTGGGCACAATTCAAAAGTGCTCATTTTAACCTATAAAGGTGTAATTGCCTTTGCCCAAGAGATCACATCTCCTTTTATGATCCTGTCCGGGGATTAAGATCATCAGGGGAGGCCTTTCTCTCAGTCCCACCACCCTCAACGGTGGGAACATAGGAGAGGGGCCTTCTCTGTGGCTGCTCCTTTAGACTGTGGCAGTCCCTCCCACTGGAGGCCAGCCTGGCCCTATCTTGGCTGTCCTTCCCTAAGTAGGCAAAGCCCTTTATCTCCAGACAGGCGTTTTCCTTAGTGACCAGCAGCCTGAGAAAGGTAGGTAAAGCCCTTTATCTTTAGACAGGTGTTTTCCTTAGTGACCAGCAGCCTGAGAAAAGTTTTTTTTAAATTGGACTGTGGTGCTTCTTTTAAAAATGTATTTTAGTATTGATTTTATTTACCGTTTTTAATGTGATACTTGTTTAATTCTTTTCAAGTATTTGTAAACTTACTGTTTTCAGCGTCCAAATATTGTCCTTTTAATCATGCAAGCCGCCTCGAGTCCTTCTGAGGAGAAAGGTGGAGTGAAAATACTTTAAATACAAAATAAATAAATAAATAAAACAGAAATATTTGAATGCCAGAGCAGAACGTTTCAGCTTCTATAACGTATAAAGATGTTTTCAGCAATGGAAGAGATTTGCCCCGGGACACAAAACACTTATTTGAAATGCCCTTTGATGCTTTTAAAACGGTATAAAAGTTAAGATAATAAAAAGAAACTCACTGCACTGGTATAGTTACACAAGACAAAAACCGAAGCAAAATAAGAAATAAAACACAGTACCCTAAAACCTGTTATACAGTATTTGAATGTGAGGTTTTGCAGAACCTGTTATATTTGAATCTATAATAATATATATGAGGTTTTGCAGATAAACCACTTTGGTTTTATCCAGGAAGGGCTATAGCAAGTCTTTTAAGCTGCCACTGAGTTGCTGTGTTGTGTTTTGGGTTGTTTTTATTGTTTTCCATTCCGTTTGTCAAAGCCTGGCTCTGCCTGCACAGATTAACCCAGTTCCTTCTTGGAAAACCCGGCTTGCAAAGGAGCCTTTGGCTTATCCTCCCTGGGGGCGCACCGTGTCTTCTTCTGCACCAGCAGCCACGTTTCCTGCCACAACCTCTTTCTTGCACTTTCTCTTTGCCCAAGTGGAAATCCATCAGCAGGATTCTGGGCGATTCCAACGCTACTGGCTTGAGCCTGGGGGTCGTGGGGGGGGCACTGCATCTCCTGATCATCCTACGCCAGGAACTGTTCTACCTCTAGAAGGGGGGGAGCCAAGAAAGCCAAGCCTCCTCTAGGAACGGGACCGGCTGTTGTTGGGGCAAAGCTTCCCCGGTGGAATGGCAAGGCCCTCCCAATGTCAGCCCCCCAATGCACGCGCGCGGGGGAGGATGGGTTCCCGCCGGCGCCCGAATCCCGCCCCACCCGCGGCAAAGGTCACCCTTCCAAAAGCCGGACCGCCGCCGCGCCTGCTGCACTTCCCAAGCGAGCCCGGCGCCCCGCCCACCGCGCCACGCGGGCAAAGGCCGACCCCAGAGAGGGGGGGTCGCGCGGCCCTCTCAGCCCCGCCGGCCGCTCACCTGGACGGGCGACAGGTTCTCCCCTCCGGCTCGCCCACCGAGGCTTCCTGGGCCGGCCGGGGCCTTCCGGGGGTGGGGGTTGAAGGGAGGAGGCGAACTGGAGAGGCCCCTTCCGGGGCGGGGACCGGCGGGAAGATGGCGGCGCCCGTGGTGCGGATCCAGAGCGACTGGGACCAGGTGTTGAGGTGGGGGGGCGGGCGGAGGACACACCTCCTCCCTTTACCTGTCCCTACCTCTCTCTCCTTCCCTCTCAGGCCACGCCCCTTCGGGGCACCTGGACCGGACCCCCCCTCCACCACTCCCCTCCCCTTAGTTTAAAGTTTACCTGCACCCCACCTGAGAGGTTGCCTCGCCTCTCCCCTCTCATTCTCCCTCTCCCCAAATTCTGCCCACCTTTCCCACTCACCCCCCTCAGGTGTTTTTACCTGCCTTTTTCCCTCAGCCCCCCCCCCCAAAAAATCCCCTAGGCTTTTGAGTCCTGGGTCTCCAGCATCACTGAGTCCAACCTCCCTTCTACCTCCTCAGTTCTAAAATGATGATGAGGATGGTTTGTTTGTTTGTTTATTAAATTTATACCCTGCCAATCTAGACACAAGTCTACTCTGGGCGGCTAACAATAAGCACAGAATAAAAATAGTATCATCGAATAAAAAGCAAACAATAGTAATATGGTTCAAGATGGGTTGACTATTTGTCTAGATGGGCGGGGTATAAACAAACAAACAAATGGGGAAAATATAAAAATAATCAAGTGAGGACAGCTGATCCCCAAAGTTTGGGACATCATCGCCTCCTAGACTCCATCTTTCATGGAGCCAGGCTGCGGGGGGGGGGGCGCTTCCGGGAACAGAAGGACCCCAAAACTGGAGGGTCAACAAGGGTCGAGAGAGACTCCAGGTGGGAGGGAACAGAAAAGGGTGAAGAAAACAGGCTGCTGGATATATGACCTCTAAAGCCCTGTAGTAGGTCTAATTGTTTTCATACTGCTACATGTTGAATTGCTTTTTTTGTGTTATCCTTGATGGTGGCTTGACTTAGATGGATTTTTTAAAAAATAACTTGTGATCTGTATTGGCCCCCTTCATTGGGAGAAAGGTGGCCCGCAAATGAAATGAAAATATCAATGAATTATTTAAGTTAGATATATTTTTCATAACTCCTGTGAGCTGCTTTGGGACCTTAATTGGGAAAAAGGAGGCACGCAAATGAAATAAACACATCAATAAATTCTGAAAGTGAAAGGTTTATTTGCTCCTTTACCCCCAGAAGTCCTGTTTAATTGCTAAACGCAAGGGCAAATGGGAATCGGAGTCATACACAAAGCTGCCTGAAACACATCTAGAACATGTCCCCTGTCATTCCAGGGAACATCAGACTAATCATAGTCTTTTATATTTGGAAGGATCTAAATTGGTCAAGACTGAATTACTGATACTTACCATACATTAAGGAGGGTTATAGTGTGAGTACGTAAAACATTTTGCAGTATGATTTCACAGAGGGCTTTTTGACTTTTGAGTGTGCTCCTTTCCTGGCTTTTTATACTAACTGGTATTTTTTCATCTTTGTAGGAAGAATGAGGAAGAGGCATGGCTCAGCTGCAGGAGCCCAGGTGAGCCAGGGGGAATTTGAGCAATACCATTTTTTCCATCAACTCCTTATTGAATGCAACAAGTTCAGAAAAAAAGGCACCAAAATAAAAATTCCCAAGTGTTTCCATTATATCATACCAAAAGCAAGGGAGTAGTCCTTGTGAATGAAATAACTGGCTGAGCTTTTAAAAAATACGTTTAAAAATTGAGTCAAAATTAAAAACAAAAAGCAAAGTGTGCTGCTTATATACCACCCCATAGCACTTCAAGTACTCTCTGGGCGGTTTACAAGTTAATTATTCAGGCTACACATAGTCTTTGTGACACTGAAGATGTTAATGGCATTGGGCCACCAGTGTGATAAACAGTCCTTCCCCCCCCCTCTTCTGCAACTCTTGGTACTGTCCAAAAATTATAGTTTTGGTGAGTTTTCCAACTCTCTGGCACATGTTTTGGAGGTCTAAGGACAGCTGTGGGGAGGAGGAAAAATTACCTCCTTACTGATTTATTTGACAGAAAGAATTTCATCACATCGCCCACTAGATCTGGCTGTAGTAATTTCATTGTCATATTTTGATTTTATGTACAAGCCACTTTTAAGCAATTTGTATCCTGAAAGCTGGGATATCAATTCAAGCATGAGATCTGGTGTTACGTGTAAGCTAAGTACTATATACGAGAAATGAACTGGAAAACAATCCATGACTTGAGGTCATCCATTTTTTCTCAGCCACCCCCTCTCTCAAATTATAGTATTGGCCAAACTTATAGTATCGCTTCATGGATCGCTGTGATAATTTCTAAGAAACATTCTGAGCATGCTTTTAATATATTGGTTTTTGGAAGTGTTATATCTGAAACATGAAAGTGAAAAAAAACTGTTAAGTAAAAAAACTGCCATAGCTTCATTAAAGTATTCTTGTTCTAAAATACAGTACTTGTGTTATACTTCCTGTTATTATCATTTTGTTGTTCTGTAGGAAAGCCAACTTTGTACGGGACCCTTACTTGTCAAGGGGTGAACTCAGATGGCGTTCCTGAAATCAAGGCCTCTGAAGGATTCGTTGTCAGTGAAATCACTAAGGTACTGGCACTTCAGTCTGTGTGGTTGAAGGGCACACTTGCACTTAGTAGGAAGAAATAAACCTGCCAGCTTTTCCTGTATGGTTTTTAATCTGACGTTGAGTCTGTTATCACCAAGAAGAAGATAGTCCCAGGATCCCTGCCCTGTAATTAAAGCTTTCCCTCGGCCTCTGTTGTAACTCATTTTTTAAAAATTAATATCATGCCGTTTGGTTGTCTCCAACAATGGACCATGACATTTTACAATAAATTGGAGGTCAAGATCAGCAGATATTACTAAAATTTATATTGGAAACACAAAAACAAGAAGATGCTACAAAGAGTTGATACAATCAATGGTAGCTTCTTCAGTTGAGTTAAATGAAGGATCCTTTTCTGGCATTTGTCCCTAAATCATCTTCAACATTCGTTCTTTATGAGATTATTCAAAAAGATCCTTAGGGTGGATCAGACTGAAGGTGGACTAATCGGGTGTTCGGTTCCCACGGTGGCCAAACACGTACCTGGCGGTAGGTAGGGTGGTCATACAAAATTAATGGCAGCTTCACACCATTTTTTTTTACCTTGCTTCACAGAGCAACTGTTCTTGCTTCATGATCCTTTTGGTTACTCTCTTCTGCACCTTTTCTACCTTTATAATATTATTTTTGAGGTGTGATGAGAACTGCACGTGATATTCTGTGTGTGGTTGCTTTCTTTTAAACTGTACAGAACCATTGTCATACTCTCAAATGCACTTTTCCACGATCACGGACGTGGGATTTGTCTTTTATACAGCAGATACAAACTGGGTCAGTATTTGCACTGTGCTGTCTGCCATAACTATTAATTTCCCTGTAATGGTCGGTCACTAGCTGCTCAGTCCCCATCAGTATGTATCCAAATTTGGGATTTTGTTTTGTTTTAAAGTGCAGCACTTTACATTTGCTTACACTGAACTGTATTTGCTGTTCTGCTCCTTTAAGAAAATAGAAGAAAGTGCTTCTTATTTTGATAAGAAACAGTTTTCTGTGGCAGGTTCAGGTAGCTGTAAATAATTTAGAGCTTAAAAAGAAGTTCTACATCTCCGCATTGGTAGAATTCCCAAGTCCCAATTTTATGCCATTTAGTATCTGAGAGCCTCTGTGGGTTCGCGGACCGAGCCCTGGGGTGAGCAGGACTCAAGAGACCTGGGTTCAAATCTCCACTCTTCTATGGAAACTTACAGGGGAAGCCGCAGCATTGAACCACTCCTTGAACATTTTGCACACCTCAGTTGAACCAGTCCTTGAACATTTTGCACACCTCAAAATGGTCTTAAATGTGACATAACAAATGTGCCTGGATGAGACATAACAATATCGGAAACAGAAGAAAATGGTATAGAGATATAACCATCATTCGGGGCGGGGGGGCAAGAGCAGTTATCTCTTTCGCTTTTACTCTCTTGCTTGAAGTTTTCCATCAGATTTATCTCAGGTTATTACATTTTAGAGTGGGTGAATAATCTCCTGTTAGTAAATGTTACAGCGCAGTCTTCTTTTCTTCTTCCACCTGTTGTAGAAAAGTCTGCTGGTTTCCTGCCCTCGTGAAAATGCTTCCTCCAAGTTCCTGGCACCCTACACCACCTTCTGTAGAATCCACAACAAAAGCGTACGTCGTTTCGTACTCTTTTCAGATACATTGGCTTCAAATAAAGATGCAACGTGGGCTGCTTAAGTCAATTAAAATAGGGTTATTTATTTATGATTATACCATAGCAATGTCCTTACCAAACTAAGGTGGACCCACCAGGAAGCTGACTTTCTGTCTTTCTCGACTCACCTTCTTGATGGTCCATGCATGTGTTTCGGTGCAGCGTTCATGCCATCATCCTGGTGATCTGTCTACGTCAAAGGGAAGAGAACCAGCAGTGGGAGATGAACCCACTCATGCTATATTTTGGTGGTGTGCTAAGATCAAACTCTTGACAGAATAAGGATGGTTTTCCACAGAAGGAACAGGGTATAAGATCTTCCAGCAGGCTTTCTCCTAGCTCTCAGTATACTGTATATTTAAAAGGTTATGCGGAAGGAAAGTGACATGAAGTTAGTTATTAATCCATTAATGGAAGCAAAAATGATGTATATAACTAGTTATCGGTTTATTAATGACAGCAAAAATGTCTGTAACATTTTATGGGATCGCCTTCACTTTTGGCTTGGCTTGGTTGGATATAGCGCATAGTAGCTACGGTGAAACTAATTTACTCTATAAAGTTCAGAGACAGTTCAGTTCTTGAAAATATATTTATTGAAGGGTGGAATACCTTTGTTTTCTTACAGAGTGACCAGGTTGGAGGTACTGTTTGCTCATATTCGTTAATCACATTTGTATGAATGAATTGTTGTTGGTGTGCCATTTCTCCCTTACGGCCAAATCTAGTTTTATTCCAATTAGAGTACAGTGATTGAAATCAATGGGACTTCTATTCATGTTGAATAATAAGTCCTATTCTTTTCCATGGATAGGACTAAGTTGAGAATCTAGTGGGGATTAAAATTGGATTTCGCTTTTTATTGTGGTTACCTATGTGTGTATTTAAAATAAAAGAAAAATAGTAAATTGAAACCTGTTTATTTTTAACACTGTGAGGGGCGAGTCCTGAAATCAAGAGAGAGTGAAAGCCAGAGGAGATCAGGGCTGGAGAGAAAGTACAGTACTTCCTTATATCAAAACAAATACTGTTTGATCAGCAAATCCAGATTTCGAATCAGGAAATGTGTTTATGTGATGCAGTGAGTTATGTTGATAATGTGCCACATTTTGTGCTTTGTAGCTTCCTGGGAGCAGACTGTGGGTGAAATCCTTTGCACAGTTGCACAAAAGGTGAAACACTGAGCAGTGAATTGCTGTAAATTAAGTATCCACGGGCAGTATCTTTTGCATACTGAGTTGCAGCTAAAAGTTACACGTTTAACAGTGCAACTGGATTTTAGCCTGTATAATTTTTTGTGTGAAATGTGATATTTATTTATTTATTTATTTATTGGACTTATATACCGCCCCATAGCGCTACAAGCACTCTCCAGGCGGTTTACAATTTTTAATTATACAGGCTACACATTGCCCCCCCAGCAAGCTGGGTACTCATTTTACCGACCTCGGAAGGATGGAAGGTTGAGTCAACCTTGAGCCGGCTACCTGGGATTTGAACCCCAGGTCGTGAGCACAGTTTTAGCTGCAGTACAGCGTTTTAACCACTGCGCCACGAGGCTCCTGATACATCTGACAATTGTTTTTCTAAATTACAGAATGTTCTCATGGGATCTCTTATAAGCCGAACCTCTTGTATTGTAAAGAAATTTTCTTGAGGTTTATGACGCCGTAGTCTTAGTTATATTGCAGGTTTTAAAAATACTTGTTTGTTGATTTGATCTTTGTTTGTTTGAAATATTTTTACCCCATCTTTACTTCCTTCAGAAGGACCCAAAGCGGCTTACATCATTGAAAGGCAGTATTTAAAGCTAAAAACTATTAGTATAAAAAGGCCGCTTATGTCATTAAAAGAGAATATTCAAGTTATTCAAAACAGTAAGCGTACCAATATTAAGGAGCAAACAAACACCACTCTCAGAAGTGGTAAACACAAGTCATAAGAAAAACACAGACAAAGCAGGGATGCGTAACAGTCTGTCGAAAAATCCCACGCAGGTAAGCTAGATACAGAGAGAAAGCTTGTCGGAAGAGAAAGGTCTTCGCCTGCTTGGAAGTGCATGGAGTGAATGTGTATAAATTATATGGCAGTGCCTGCTCACGCTAGGCTTTTGCCGTCTGTAATGGCGCCTCCCTCCTTCTGTCTTTTAGGTCACCTGCCTTGACATCTCTAGCGGTGGCGGGCTTGGGGTATCCACCAGTGCGGACGGGACCATGAAGATCTGGCAAGCGGCCAATGGGGAAATAAGGGTAAGAACTGTGGTTTTTTGGACCGGGCAGGGGGGGTGGGCTTGAATCTTCAAGGTTGTGAATCTGCCAATTTATATTTATTTATTTATTTATTTATTTGTTAGATTTATATCCTGCCCTTCTAGACAATGTCTACTCAGGGCAGCTTACAATAAAACATATCATAAAAACAGTTTGAGTCAATGGTATTAGTATTGTTCAAGATGGGCAATGTCAGGAAAAAGCTGAAGTAAGAAGTAAAAGTTAAGTATTGACAGGAGGGAAGGCCTGCCCGAAGAGCCAAGTCTTTAATTGGCTCTTAAAAACACCCAGCAAGGGTGCCAAGCGGATCTCTGATGGCAGGCTGTTCCAAAGTCGAGGGGCCACCGTTGAGAAGGCCCGGTTTCTTGTTCTTTCTTTGCCAATGGGGAAATAAGGGTAAGAACCGGGCTTTTTTGGCCGGGGGTGGGGGTGGGGTGGGCTTGAATCTTCAAGGTTGCGAATCTGCCAATAGCGAAACCCCAATTTTTCTCTGGTCTCTTGATCCCATCGATCAGTTATTCCAAGTCAAACGTATGTTCCGCTAGCAAAACCCCAATTTTTCTCTGGTTTCTTGACCCCATCGATCAGTTATTCCAAGTCAAACGTTTTTAGAACCATAGAAGAGCGACAAAATAAATGCTCCCGAAACAGAATGTCCTTCTGGAATTCTTGATTTCAAAAGAAATGAAAGCAGAAATGCTCCCGAAACAGAATGTCCTTCTTGAATTCTTGATTTCAAAAGGAATGAAAGCAGAGTGACCAGTTGTGCGTGGCTACACTCTGCTTTCGTTTCCTTTGAAATCGAGAATTCAAGAAGGACGTGGTCCCTCTCTCCGAGAGTTCCCCTTCCTGCCATTTCCCCCACCAAGTCCTCTCTGTTGGTCAGAATCAAGTCAAGGAGAGCAAATCCTCTTGTTTCTTTCTTCACTTTTTGTATCTTCCCAGAGACGCTTGGAAGGCCACGTGTACGACGTCAATTGCTGCCGATTTTTCCCATCCGGCCTTGTTGTCCTGAGCGGGGGCATGGACGCACAACTAAAGATCTGGTCTGCCGAAAATGGCAGCTGCGCTGCAACGTTTCAGGGTCACAAAGCAGGTACAGAAAAAAACGACATCTAAAATACATTGATTTGCACTAGGTGTTGATATTCGGTATGTCTAAGTCAGGATGTGCATTAAATTAAAACCAGCGCGCTAGCTCTGCTCGTTCCTGGAGAGGTCTGATCTGGCCAGGGTAACACATGCATTAGTTACATCCGAGCTGGTTTACTGTAAGGCACTCTACGTGGCGCTGGCCTCTGGAAAGTGTTCGGAAATCTCAGCAGCTTCAAAAGGCTGCAGCTAGATTATTAACTGGTTTGTTAATTGTTTCTTTACAGGGATTACATAACCCCACTGTTTCAGCAGGTCCACTGACCGCTAATCTATTTCTGGATACAATTCAAAGTTCTGATTTTAACCTATAAAGCCATAAATGGCCTAGGCCCACGCTGTTTCAAGGACCGTGTCTCCCTTTAAGAACCTGGTCAAGTATGCCTAAGCTGTCTCAAGGACTGTGTCTCCCTTTTAGAACCTGGTCAAGTATTAAAATTATCAGGGGAGGCTTTTCTGTCAGTCCCACCACCTTCACAGGTGTGTCTGGTGGGGATACAAGAGAGGGGCTTTCTCTGTGGCTGCTCCCAGAGACTGTGGAACTCCCTCCCACTGGAGGCCAGCCTGGCCCCATCTTGGCTGTCCTTCTGCAAGCAGATGAAAGACCTTTCCCTTCAGAAGACCTTTCTCTTCTAACAACTGGCTGGCTGGCTGAGAAGGGGTTTTAAAATTGTGTGTTGTGCCTTGCTGCTTTGAATATGGTTTTGGTGTTCATCTTGTTTACCATTTTTAGTGTGGTCTTTGTTTGTTTGATGCTTTTTTAATATATAAGTACTGTTTTTAACTTTTAAATAGGTCCTTTAATGATGTAAGCCACCTTAGAGTCCTCTTTGAAGGGAGAAAGCAGGGGTAAAAATATTTAAAAGAAATAAATAAGAAAGCTTAAGCCAGCGTAAATAGACACTGAGGCTGTGCCTCGCTCCCCATGGTGCATCTTGGCAGTTTGCAAAGAGAGCGGGGTTTATAGAGGAAGCAAAGAGCGGTCAGTGCACCCTGACAGTGTGGCAAACCGCAGTGCCAAGTAGATGATCACAGGGCCTGCTCCCAGATTTCTTCCTTGACACTTTTGCCGTAGAGTGGGAGCCTTGCCATGCTATGCCTCTTACTCTCAGGCACGAAATACCGGCTAGGGCCATTTCTTGCTTCACCTTGTCTGTCAAGCTGCCCTCTCTGTCCTTATCCAGTGTTTGTGTGTGAGAGAGTGAAGGGAGGGGGAGAGTCCATGGCCCCATAACCAACATGTGATGGGTCTTTCTGCTGCCTCTTGATGAGATAACAGAGTGTTAGGACAGACAAGCACCTCGCTCCTTGTTCTTCTGGAGAGCATCCGCGAAGGGTGTTTCAGAGACTCTTGAAAGAGAGGCCAGTTTCAGGGACGCTACACCAACACTCCTGCTTGCTACTGGAAGTGTTCCATCATCCCCCCCAGCTTCCCTCACCTGCATGGGAGGGAGGGGGAATCATGTCTGAATACTGAGAAGAAGCATGGCTGCCTTGAGCAGCGGGTTGTACCTGATGGCCTTCCGAGGCACCCTTCCAACGCCGTGATTTTATGAGTCTAAGGTTCTGGCTGGCAGGAGAGGCTGGGGAAAACCACCTGGGGTTTCCCCAGCACCAAAACAAAACACATACACCAAAATCCAGGTCTATAGAGCCTGTGTCCTGAGCACACTCCTATACTGCAGGGAGTCCTGGACCCTCTGTGCACGGCAGGAGAGGAAGCTGAACACCTTCCCTGTGCGTTGCCTCCGATGGATTTTTGGTATCACCTGTCAGGACAAAGTTCCAAATAGAGTAGCCCTAGAAGGAGCTGGAATTTTTAACATGTATACATTACTGAAACAGCGCTGTCTACTTTGGCTCGAGCATGTGGTGAGAAAGGCTGATGGTTGGATTCTAAAAGATCTCCTGTATGGAGAATGAGTGCAGGGAAATCGCCCCAGAGGGAGACCACAGCTGCGATACAAGGATATCTGCAAGCGGGATCTGAAGGCCTTAGGAATGGACCTCAACAGATGGGAAACCCTGACATCTGAGCGCTCAGCCTGGAGGCAGGCGGTGCAACACGGCCTCTCCCAATTTGAAGAGACCCTTGTCCGGCAGGCCGAGGCCAAGAGGCAGTCCCGAAACCAGCAAAATCAGGGAGCTGGACGGGACAGTATGGTATTTGTCATTGGTGTGGAAGGGATGGTCATTCTTGAATTGGTCAGTTGGCCTTCTCAGCCACACTGGATGCTGTTTCAAGTCCTCCAGTACAGAGCATGTGACCCTCATCTCTGGAGACTGAAGGAGGCCTAATCAATCAAAACAAAACATGAGGGTGGAGGGAATGTCCCTGCTGGACGGGGCTGTTAGTAACCTCCGATGCCCAGTTCAGCTTTGTAAACGGAGACTGCACCAGGCTATCTCTCAAGTTCCCAGCGTGGAGCTGAGAAAGTGAACAGAGGATCGTGTGGGACCCTTGTACGCGATGCTCAGTGTGAGGCTTCATGCAAAATAAGAGGCTGGGTCTTTCTTGCCACAGATTTTGCTTTGGCTTCTGAGACCTGCCAAAAACCGTGGGTGATTTTGTTGTTCCACTTCATTGTGTCTGTCCTGAGATACCCAGCAGTCATCATAGGGAGCTTTAAAAGTACCGCAAACTGTTCTTACAACACAGTAAGGAGAATCACTTCCCCCTTTGCTAGATAAGGCAGAAAGTAATTTCATTTGTTTTTATAAAAATGTCATTTCAGCAGTGAGTTGGCCCTATTGGGTTTTTAGAAGGGACTTACAATAAAGTTGCTCTTTCTCTGTTGGAGATATTGCAAATAATGGAATTTTGTATCCTGGTCAAAATGGACATTTGTGGACTCAGAAGGAAGTACATGTCCCCTTGGCCATCATTATCTGGATCTCCACCACCTCTATTTATTTATTTACTGCGTTTATTTATATGCCATCTTCCTCCCAGTACTAGGACCTCCCAGAGCAACTTGTAATAAAGTTCAAACGCAATGTGATGAAAACTCACTAAGTCACAAATATTAGAATCATTGGCTGAAATGCTGCCACACACACCTTTGCATGTATCACACAAAGCTGCAAAAAGTGGTAGGAAAAAAATCATGTCAGGGCGTAAGCATTTCTGTAGGTGTGTCATGAAACCTTCCTGATCTGATCTGCCTGTTCAGTTGCACAACCAAAACATGGACAATCGATTGTGTAATCATGACATAAGCCGTGGAACTGTGATGCAAACCATATAACTGTGGTGGGAACCACATAATTGATTGTGCAAAACTCACTGCCCAGCCCACTTCCCCAGGTGTAACTACATTGGACCAGGATTTCAGCTATTGCATTATTTAATTACAGTAGGGCCCCCGCATCTGTGGAGGAGCAGTTCCAAGCTCCCCACGGATGCTGAAGAAATTTGATTATGGCAAATGGCATCTTAATAGCGAATGCTACCCGTAGTCTCTGGCTCTCTGTTGTGGCCAGTTCTGCTAACTTCATAATTAGAAATATATATATGCGGTAAGGAGATCATCACCACCGAACTAATATATATATGTATTTCTAAAACATTTAGTTTAATATTTTCAGAGTTGGATAAGTGAATCAGTGGATACTGATCCTGCAGATGTGGGGGTCCTACTGTACAGCTAACATTAAAGCATTTTAAATAAATTGATTACATTATTAATCGTGATTTACTTTAAAGGAGAGAAAAGGGACAAGTTAATAACCAAGTGCTTCGGTAGTCTACTTGCTCCTCGCATCGCCTGTAGTGCGTTGCTGTGATCCTCTGGAGTTGTCTTAACTCTTGACTCATTGTGCATCATAGTCCTGTGTTTATAGCACACCGTGGTCAGAATTACTCAGCGTTTGTGTGTGGCAGAGGTCGGACCCAATGTAGGAATCCCACCTCCAACAGACTGTGCTCTGAATCTCTGCTTGTTCGAGTCCTTCCTTAATGCTCTGATTTGGGTTCCTCTGCTTTATGGCAGGAATCCTGGACGTCGCCATTGTGGACCGAGGGAGGAACGTGGTCTCGAGCTCCCGAGATGGCACCGCCCGCCTTTGGGATTGTGGGAGATCGGCGTGCCTGGGGCTGGTGGCGGACTGTGGGGCCCCCATCAACGGAATCGCCTTGGGGGAAGCTGACAACACCTTAAACTTGGACTCACCTGAAAATAGACCCAGTGAGTAACACCACCTCGGGCAGGTCTTCTCTCTCCCTAAACTGACTTTTCATATTAGCTGGATTAAAAAAAAATCACAAGAAGAGAAAGCACCTGAAAATAAATCTTGGGTTAATTCTGGGTTTTGTATTGACTGATCAAAGGGGGGGGGGCAGAAAGATACGGTAGGAACCACAACTGTACTCTGCTATTAATCATCGTACGTGGAGAGTCATAGCTTCAGAGCATGGCTGTTCAATGTTGTTGGTATGTGTCGTCAAGTTGTCTCCAACTCATGACGACCCTAGGGATGAGCCGTCTCCAAAATATCCTTTCCTCAACTTCCCTGCTCAGGGTTTGTAGACTCTGGCTTCCTTTAGGGAGTCCGTTTTTCTTGTATTGTATCTTTTCCTCCTGCCTTCCACCTTTTCCAACATTATTGATTGTTCAATAGACAGACCATATTGTGGCCAACCTAGTTAGACCCATCACCCAGTTGAGGCTCAACCCACATTATATCATTGTACTTCGAATTCTGTTTGTCCCGCATCTTTAAAAAGTTAAGGAGGAAAGGTAGCCCTGATACTTGTCCTTTTCCATGTGGGCAGCAGAGATTAGACTTTTGTTTCAGTGCTTTTAAAAAAATGTTTAAACAGTTTGGAACAAATATGCTCAGAGCAAGGATGACTCTTGAAAGCACAAATGAGACAGGTTCAAATGAAATCCATATAAAAATACACCTACACTTAAGAATGAATGAATGAATGAATGAATGAATGAATGAATGAATGAATGAATGAATGAATGAATGAATGAATGAATGAATAAATAAATAAATAAATAAATAAATAAA